GGGTACGTTCCACTTAACGCCCGTAACGATCACGACCGCGACCGCGGTTTTGTCGTTCCACTAGCTTAGAGGCGTTGTGGGCGAAACCTTAAGTGGAACGCTTTTGAGTACGGTCGCGTGACGTCACGCGTGAGTGAACAGTTTTCCAACATGGATGCCGTTGAGGAGATCGCAATGCGTAAAGGATACAAAGTGGGGTGGATTATGAATTCAGAAGTCACATTAAGTTAGTAAATATTTTTTTATTTTCCAGTACCAATTATTGACACATACTTCTTCGCTTTACACAAGATATTGCTTCTTGTTAATAAAATATTGAAGACGACTTTTGAATTTCTATCATGAATGCTGCGGCCATACTTAATACGATTATAATGAACACTTCTCCCCAGGATTTCTTGTGGGAATGCTGCTTCGAAAACAATTTCTCTTCTTCATTCAAAACTAACGTACATTCTCATTTTCATCAATCGTTGCATTACCATTTATAATCTATCATAATCATCCTTGATCTACAATAAAGAAAATTGTGTTAAAGCAGAATTTTCCTTAACAAATAACTTTAACATTCACGAATCAGCATATATACTTACCAGTTTGTGCATGTAGAACATCCATAATGACCATAATGTAATGTCCACCACAAGGTTACGTTCTGAAACACGTAATTATATTTTCTCCATAGCGAAAACGAAAAATTTGTAACGCATGCGTGTTCAAACAATCAGTGTCTGACAGTTAAATGTCTCTAGAACACAGAAATCTTATACAAACTAGAACGCTAATAGGCATGGGATGCGCGAGAACAAAATGACACAATTTGAACGGTGAAAATTGACATTTGGTGGACTCCTGAGTTTGCGCATTGCGTGAGCTTACAGATCCGGTCTCTGAATTCGCCATTGTGATAGTTGTTATTTCGATAAGAGCGAATAAAATATCATAGAGTCTTGTTGCAATAAATACTGTGTCATCAAATTATTCCTTAATGTCGATGTAAAAGAATACCCAAAATTCCTCACTTCGTTATCTGGCCCTCGATATGTAGCTACTTCCAAATATTTTCGAGCCGGCCCTGGCTATTTTTAAATTTGGCGGCTCCGTTTTGTCTTACTGCGCAAACTCAGTAGTGCACCTGTGCGAATTCAATTTGGGTCAATTTCTTTACATTGCATTAGCATTCCATTTTTTTTTAGTTCAGTGTCTAGAAATGTCTCCTGTCAAGAATGTAAGGTTATAAAATTAGAACGCCCACGCTGACCCAGGCACGATAGGCGAGCGCCGTGGGCTCGTTGCGGTCGCTAGTAATGACGTCATATCTGACGTCGCGATTGCGACCATAACGACTGTGGTCGTTATGTGGAACGGCAGCCGGGCGTTGTGGTCGTTGCGGGCGTTAAGTGGAACGTACCCCTAGATATCCCAAAAAAAGCAAACATACTTATTTGTGGACGTATAGCAAATAATGAAGAGTATTTAAAGCTTCCCGTACTACGCGGTTACTATAAATCTGCTCTTTACGCGATCCGAGTGGTGTTCATACGACTTTAGTTTACCCTGAGATTCACATACCCTCGACTAAAGTGCCCTCTATCCGTGACCACCCATTTTGTATTGAAAGCATAGGGCGAATAGCAGTCCATGTACTATCTATATGGTCTAAGGCAAGCATACTTCAACGCACGCCAGCGCCCCCTACGTGCGTAGTACGTAAACATGTTTTAAGACGTTTTTGGTTGCATACTATATTATATTTCAAATTTGTAGGTATTTCATTCGTGAAACCACAAAAAAAAACGATTTCTTAACATAATTTTTTCTTATTTTCAAGATTTGGTTGGGTTGCGGAGGGAATTTTTGGTGGGAAGTTACAAATTTGGATTCAGCAACCCAAAAAACATATTTCTAGAACTACCATTCATTTTGCAAGCTAAGGGCCTCGTATGTTCTTTATTGCCTGGACTATTTTGCCATTTGAATTTTTTGAATTTTAATAATGACCACAGCGCCACTTTCCCACATTCAACAATAATTATCCAAACATGTTATGGTAGGGTCTTGTGATTTCTTTATCTGGTTCGGAAGAGAGTGGGAATAGTTTTAGATAGCGCAGATATAAGTATTTATATTATAAATAATATAATAATATGATATACTGTTTTGCATTAGAAATTAACTTTTCATGCAATTCTGGACTACAATAAACACCTTGAACGAATCACCCTTACATATAAAATTCAAATAATAGGTAAATGCAAGGAATTCACTTATTGACAACCCTTAATATTAATTTAGGGTTTTAGTGCGAAAAAACTATGTTTTGTGGAGACAGCCGAAATACGCCAATTTTCAACTGTCGCTTGAGCCCGAACGGTTCATCGAGGAGAAAAACTAAATAGTGGAATTTTTGTTTGCAAACCTCAGATTCGGATTCAGCACTCCAAAAAACATATAGAATCAAAGAAATCAAAACTACCCCACAACTTTCTTAGTAAAAAGGCAATTTAACTGGATTAATTGTACAAAAAAATGAAAACGCGTCATTATAAACGTGGGACTTGCCATATTACCTATTACCTACTTTTCCGCAGTCATATGTTATGATCCGTTGTTGTAGTTGTTATACCTACGGCTTAACTTAAAGTTTAATGGGACAAATTCCGTACATTCTCGTAGGCGTATTACTTTCTTAAGGCCGCTTGACATGGAGCAATACAACGCACAAAAACTTTCAGAACAAGTCAAATAATTGAAAAAAATATGTAACAAAGTTACTAATCTCAAATAAAAATTCAGTTTTGATTTCATTGCTTGAAGAAACATGAAAATTACAAAAATAAATAAGATTAATAAAAAAAAAGTAATCGATGCATCCCTCAGCATCATAGTTGGCGCCGATGTATTTTACTAGCGCGTTCGCACCTCCAGATGCAGTATGGTCCATACAATATAGGATGATAACACAAAAACAACTAGATTTACTGTGGAGACCGAGTTCCGTCTCACCACCGACTAACAAAACTAAACACCTGATTGGTCGACGCAATTACACCACTAGCGACCCACTTGCGCATGCGCGATTCTCCATTTTTCAATATGTGTACAGAATTTGGTCCCAACCGGTTCAGCCGTTTGACCGGAAATCAGAGTACAAACAGATCGACATCATCAAGATTTTGTTTGATTCGGATTCCTGGTGCTACAAAACGTGTATTTCCGTAAAAAAAGTAGACAGTCATTTTTTTACTCCAATGCAATACCTCCCTTGCTAACTTGCGGGTGGCACAAATTGTCCACAAATTATTTGCGCCGGCGCATTGCAACTGTTTTATTTATTAGATATTCATTATTCAAAAAAATTGTAATCAGAGATATTTCAAATTAAAGTAAGATTGATAAAAGGTTACCTACCGTCAACTAGTCAACTGATTTTTGCACCCTGTATCATGGAATACATTTTCAGAACCTGCTACAAATGCGATATGAAGTTCATCAAAGAGGAAGGATGTAATATGATGAAATGCCGTTGCGGAGCTCTCATGTGCTATGTTTGTAATCAACCTGTCAAAAATTACAACCATTTTAACGGCCCCGACGGTAGTAATACAAATCTGTAAGTGCTTAATATACGAGAATTTATTCTCCTTAAAATTCTCTTGTAGCTGCCCTCTATTTAGCGACATCATTCAACTTCACAAAGATGCGGTCTTAAAAAGTGCCGAAGAAGCTAAGAGAGATCTAGGAATTAGCGAAGCTAAAAGATTAAAGATAGATCCCACCGCGGATATCGAACAGCACTATAAGACTGACACTGAAACTGTTGTTCCAGCAGCTCCCGTTAATCCCTTTTTAGCAATGAATCGTGAAGATCGCCTTGCACAGGTAATTCTCATTGTGCTATATTACATTTGAGTAATTTTTGCTTTAGGAGAGAGCGTTGCAAAGGTTTGAACACAACCGCCGTCGTCGTCGCCGACACTAATTTTCAGATTACCTTTATTATCAGTTAATACTGTGTAGTGTGTATATTATGTCTATTTTAAGTTGAACCAAATTTTATTATGAGAGTTATTTTATTGGCGATGCGAAAAAGTTTTTTTGTCTTTTACAGGAAAACAAGAAGCAGTTAATTAGCAAATTCTAGAAAAGGTTCTAGAAAATGTAAAAGTTATCCGATAGGTATTCTGGCACGACTAGAGCGTTGTGCGTGGGTGCACCATCTTGTTGAAACCCACAGTTGCAAACTTTTGTTTTTCGTGTTATACGTTATATACTCTTTGGTTTGACATATGTCGAAACGCGGCGTTCTATTGAAAATCTCTTAATGGTGTCCTGTAGAGCTCATAAAGTGGCAATGAGAAAGTGTTTACAATTTTTTTTGTATCTGTTCAAATAACAGCAGAAAAAAATGAAAACCAAATCGGCAAATTTTGGGTTTTCTGGCCTACTTCGGAAGTAATAGGAATTTTCTCATTTTCTTTAAAGCATGATAAGAACTGTCTATAATTGCGCAACATTTCCCGAATTTGACCATCGTTGTATCTTCTATGGTGTCGGAGATCTCCATGATAGACATCCTTATCTTCGACATAGTGTATATCCACACCCGTTCCTCTTTCCGTTAGGGTTCCGTCTATAAACCACACGAACCCCTTAGGTTTGAGGAACGGGCGATCTGAATTCAGCCACTGCTCCCTGGCCGGACAATAGTGACTTGATAACTCTTTGGCCTTAGTAGAACAGCCCGGATCCCTTGCTGCAAGCAGGCGATCGGATTTGAATGTTTCTTCCCAGATCTGCCCGTGACCAAGGCTGCTTCGTCCCAATTGTTTAACCGTCTTCCAAGCCTCGTCTCAACAGCTAAGTGTAAAGGCTCCATGGCCAAAGTTGCCGTGGTTTTCATTGCTCCAGTGACTCCCAAACGTGGCAGGTCACCACACATGTGCACCGTACAGTATTATTGACCTTATCATTACAGTGACCAGTCCAGGGGTCAAGCCCCACGTACAACCAAAAGCCCTTCTACATGCTCACAGACTGCATGCAGTGAGCTTTTTGATTATTAGCTCAATGTGCCCTTCCTAAGTCTCGCGGGAGTCTATGACGACCCCCATATATTTCACTGACCTAGGTCAGACTGACTGACCTAGTTGACGTCTTCGAAGAGTAAACCCAATGCCCATCAAGGTCCGCTCTCTTTATAATCGTAAATAGAACAACATCGGTCTTTTCCGAGAAGAGGCCTTGGCTACTGCACCACTTATCCACCTGGTCAAGAACCCCCTGCATGAACTCTTTCATGGTGTTTGAAAACTTTCCAGTTATGACGATCGCGAGAACAACGCTCCCTGCGGACATCCTCTAGTAAACGAGGAGGTCATCTCCGTCGTCGATTGAGGATATAATGACTCTGCTCCAGAGCATGGCCCGGATCTATCTTACGATTGACCCATCAATACCAAACCCTTGAGCAGTCTCACTAATGGAATCGAACGTGGTGTTGTTAAACGCACCCTGCCTCGATGTGTAGAAACACTCCTTACAATCCGAGACGCTTGGTCTCTGACGTTGGGATGCCTTCCCGAGCTAGCGGCCCAGACACAGCCTTACGATTTGGCGCAGAGCCCGCTTGACCGGAGGTTTTACCTTTGAGCCTGTGCTTTCTGTGCGTGCGTTGTGTGTTATCCCACCCCTTTTGGGAGTATATTATTATCGTCCATACTATTCCCAGGAATAGTGCGGAAATACGGTCTCACCTGGACAGAGCCGTTTACCCAGGGTTTGGCCGCCAGACCTTTCTCAAAGGAAAGGGATCACCACTCGGAGGTCGCCCAGGATCCGAGGGGCACCATTATCGACACTGCACCCCAGTGCCACACAGTCCTCGGAATGGTCGCTAACGCCTTGACTTGGAGGTTGGTCCGCTGCGATGACGTTCGTCGCTACCAGTCTGGGTTTTGAGTATGGTGTGTATAATCAATGGTTTTAGTCCCGACGAGCTATTTATAATCATCACTATCCACACCGAAACACGAGTCACTTTACGATCATTCAGGGCGTCGATTCCCGAAGATGTGCTTCGTTCACATCGATGTGAACGTGATTGTGACTGCATTCTCGAACCTACCGCGTCGAGCGATAAGTTGATCGAACGCAACGACTGGTCTAGACCACTCGTTGCGTGAAAGTCATGCGCAGTTGCAGCTACAGGACGGAACTTGCACCTGTTTTGCTAAAGGTTATTCAGTGCCCTAACCTATACATTCACACATTTTCTGTGAAATAAAACATGGAATTGTTCGAGGATTTTGTGGTTATTAATAACAGTATCCATAATGCAAAAACAAAACAAAATACAAAACTGACAAATGACAGTTCAATTCTTGTCTGTGATTGGTTAGCTCATAAAGTTTGTCCACGATTCGGGAATGCAGCTAAACTTGAACTTATCCCTA